TTATCTCTGGCTGGAAGAATTGGAAAATGTTAATACCTTTCAATTGAAGAACTGGAGAATATTAATACTTTTTAATTCAGGAACTAAATATTTATACTGTTTAACACTAGAAATACCGAGCATTTAGTACGATTAATACGCAATTCCCATAAAAATTGTAATAGATTATTTTCAGTTTCTTCAGACATTTATTATACTACTAAAATGAAGCTATTTATTTTCAAAATCATTTCGAATATCCAATGCTTCGAAGATATCAATAATTGCTAAACAAAAAAATCGGAACTAGTCATTTCGACTGGTACGGTAGTTCTAGTGTTAATCGAAGAACTGGAGAATATTTATACTGTTTATTTGAAGAGTTGGAGAACATTGATATTTTTAAATCAAATTCGAGTTTAAATTGCAGAATCAAGAAGTATTAATACCTTCGAACTCCACTTGAAATTTTCGTCACGAATCGACGCGATATAACAAGACGAAGGATTGAAGGTTCCAAAACGCGATGAAGGATTTTAGTGGGCGAAGACGTAACGTTTCAAAGACGAAATTTCGATTCTCTGCGACTCTGACGGGCGGAGCGACCAGTTTTCCCCCGTGTGAACCGTGAAATTCGCTTCCCCGAGCAGAAAGGAATTGTCTGGTCGGCGAATAAATTCCAGTTTAATCCACGGTCAACGATCGTGTAACCGCTTCTCTGGGATCTCATTAATATTATAGAGAATGGAAGAGGGGAGAAAGTTTCCACGGAAACGATTCCGCGTCGCGCTGAAAATCGAATCGCAGGATAATAATCTTGAAACTCGATTTCCCAGCGTTCGCCGTCTTCTTTAGCGGTGCTCTCTCTCTCTCTCTCTCCGACGCGAACCGACAAAAATTGGCCAATAACTGCGCCACGGTCGGTCAAAAGCACGGGGGTCTTCAGTTTTCACCGCCAGCGGTCAAATGATTCCGGCAGAAATATCGGCAAAAGGCTCCTAACCAATAAACGACTCTTGTTTCGGTAAATCGCGAAATCCTCGGCTTCTAATGGACCTCTGATCCCATATATCGCGACTCGCCGATCAAACATCCTTCTGTGAAAGCTCGCTTACATTCAGCCGATATTCATTAACGCTCCGATTACATTTTTCAATCATTCGATCAAAAAATATTCGATTGCATTCCATTTACACTCGTTGGAGCAGTTAAACCTGCTCTTCAAACCTCCAAAAATCCGAATCTAACATTTGCGCTCGAATATCAACCCTTTGCACTCGAGAGGTGACACTCACCACCTGGTTTCCTACAGGAAAACTATAAAATTTGATATTTAATATTACACCACGTATAATGCAATTTCAGAAATATTCAAATAAAATAGCTTTGTTCCTCGATGTACCCGTGATCTCTCTTCCAGTGAATCTCGCAAAATATCGTCTGTATCTCTCCATGGAACGTCAAAATATTTCCAGTGAGAAACTGTCGAGCAAAGGGTTAAATTCTGAAATATTCAGCGAATGTCGAATTACCGGAGAACATCATTGTCAAGAGATGAATCTTCAAGAGCGCGATACTCCGTCGGATTCTATCGGTCGCTCTTTCGCCGTGAAACCGAGCGTCGCGAGTCCCGTTTAAAACGCTCGGCGACGTCGTCGGTGTTTTTAAAAAAAAATGTCCTTTCGGACGTCGGATTAGCGACATTTTAGAAAGCCAGACGGCGAAACGGGCCGCCGTGAAAAGGGGCAGCGTTTCGCGAACGGCGCGCGCAGGGGAGGGTAATGAGCGCGAGCCGTCGCTCGGCGCCGACGTTTCGCGCTCATTCAGACCGCTTTATCCGATTACCGCCGTTGAGCTCTTAATTAACGCGAAGCGGTAACGTTACTTTCGAAAACGCCCGCCCGAGGCTGGATGGCAACCTTTCGCCCGAGCCGATCCGCCGCCGTAGCCGTCGCTGCCGATGAAAACCCCCCGCGACCGTATCAAACGAATGCGTCCCGACGCGGCACGATCCGCGACTCGCGGCGAAATTGTTCGAGAAGCGATAAAAATCCACGGTTTTTTGTCGGATCGCGTCGTTCCGGGGGAATCAAGTGCCGGAAACGTTTCCATCGATGGTACGAATGTGTAATGGCTTTAGCTTCAATTTTAATAATGTACTGAAATTGAAGCCGACGTTGCTATGAATCAGAAGCTTTGTTCGTATTGTTAGTGTAAATGAAGATTACAGTATGTTTCCAGTTTTTTCGGGTTTCTGATAAAGCTGCATATATCTCTTGGTGAAAGACTAATCGGTTAATCTTCCAAGATATAGTACCTTAAGCAGCTCATCTCTAATGAAATCAACAAAGCCTCAATATCCAGTTAACTAGGAAGAAAATCAGTCTTCACTGACAAAGTTAAGAGAGTATGATACAAAATGAACGTTACGAGACTTTATTGTCACACGAAGCAATTTGCATACGTAACAAAACTTCTGTAACTACCGACGAAATTAATTGGAAACATTTGCACGGTAATTCCGCGATAATCTCTCGAGTCTACAAGGATTACGCTGCATAATCTGAACGTTGGACGTTCGAGGAATTGATTCCGCTTCCAGTACGAGGTATCTTTCTTTTCAACCGCAGCCTCGCGTAGAAATGAAGTTTCGCGCAGCGGGATCTGATAAAGTTCCCGTAACGCGTTTAATTGGCCGCGTCTAAATCGCGTCGCGAAATTAAACGTCACGCGGGAGTAGATTTCTGTTCTACTTTCCGCGCGTGAACGGGATCAATTACCGGCTCCGCTCGGCGGCCCCCGCGTGTTTTAATTAAACCGTGCGCGATTCATTTATTAGCGCCAACGATACCGGAATTTCCCCGAAAAATTTCCACGGCACGCAGATCGCGACGGACACCTGCGATTACGTTCTTTGATCGCGCGATTTTCGGGTTGATTGAATTCGATCAGCGCCGACCGACATTTGCTCCTCTTCCCTCTTTCTCTGTTCGATCGCGACGAACGCGAAACTTCATTACTTCTGTTCCACTTTTCCCTCGTTCGTGCGTGATTCGTTAATTATCCCGTAAATCGACGCGTGTCTTTGATTGTCCCTTTACCTTACGATCTCGTTTACTCGTAGAAACTTTGAAGTCTGAAGATAATCGTGTAATCTAGTTTAGTTCATTCAATCTAAAGTTATGTCAATTCTGCAAGGTTTCGATTGCCTGCGAGTGTATAAACGTTAGCTGCTCGACCTAAATATCGATGCTCGATTATTCAGTTTGATTTTCCCGAGAACAGTAAGTTGGACATCGAGCGTAATTCCTAAGTAGTTAAGTTAATGCATTAGCCGAACTCGATCGCTGTACGGTAAGAATCAATTTAATTTAAGATTCAATCTGCCCAGCAAGAGAGGGAAACTCTTTGGCGAACGATATAACCTCGTTTGTGCATATAATTTGTCATTATTCCAATGCGAAACTTGTGCAAGGCTTTCTATTTAATTAAAAATGATCTTCATCGTCGATCGGTTCCGACACACGAGTGTCAGTCGCGCGTCGAATATTTTCGGGAGGATAACGAATAGACTGCGGACGTTCCGACCGAATTCATATTTCGTCCCCGACGTCGAATTAAAATGAAAATACGTATTAACCGTTCGCGAACGAGACCCGATCGTAAAGTTCGGGGTATTTTTCATGCGAGACGGGGAACGTCCATAAATCAGAACTTGGCTGGTGACCGGACTACGTAAGCGAAGTGCCAGGAAAGGAAAACCGGTGGGACCCGAGGCGTCTCGGCGGCGCGAGAGCGGCGTTTTTGCTCTTCAAACAATTGGCTCGAGTTCAGAACCAGTCCTCGGAACTTTTCTGCAATTTGTCGCCCGGTAAACAGTGTAGCTTACCGCGGAGACCGGATTTTCCACGAAAACCTGCATACTTCCGCGCGCTCCGCGCTGCGTTTAATTCAGAGCTCGATTCGATAAATTACTCTCCCATTGTATATATCCTAAAACGTATCGCACTTAACACGGGACTCGCATTTCATCGCATCGCGGACGTTCCACCGTGCGAATTTCACTCGTTAATTAATTACGACACTCCGCTCCGTTAATGGGGAAATACCAAAATCAGCGAAAGTTCATGCTCTCGATCGAGGAATTGATTGGACTCGATAAAATAGATTTCTATATAATTGCTTTCCACTCGAGGGGGACCCAGGTTTTCCACATATTTCCATTCATCCGTAGAGCAACGGCTTCTCAAAATTGACTTTGAATTTGAAAGCTCGATTGCTCGCAACAAGTAATACCAATAAAATGATTAACCGTAAGTAACCATTGTCCGAGACACATCCGTGTAATCGAATACTAGTTTCATCAAAGTTTCAAAATTCAAAGTTTTTCATTGATTTCAAAGAAATCAGTTTCTTCGAACGTTCCTCGATGCTATATCCTGGGAGTCGCGTCTTCCTCTCCTAACACGTTCACTGCCATGAGAATTTTCATTCTATACAATATTCCTTATTCTTCTATAACAATGACAAATCGTAGTAACCCATTCACTGCTAGCATAAAATATGCGATTTCATTTATAGTTTCAATTTATTTTACTTTATATTAACATTTCAAATACAACCAAGATTGTACCAAACTGGCAATCTCTCGCTAGTACATTCGTAACTGGCAGCGAACGGGTTAACACGTAGAGATCTTCCATCGCAATTATATTCGCGTTGCTAGGTGAGCATCACATATCGTTCGCATTACGTCGCGAATACTTTGCTCGACGCTACAATTCATTTTGCTTTATATTAACATTTCAAATACAACCAAGATTATACCAAACTGGCAATCTCTCGCTAGTACATTCGTGACTGGCAGTGAACGGGTTAACACGTAGAGATCTTCCATCGCAATTATATTCGCGTTGCTAGGTGAACATCACATATCGTTCGCATTACGTCGCGAATACTTTGTAACGCTACAATTCACACGAAATCGATTGACACGAAACTTCTGAACCGTTCGATTTCAGTCCGGCCTGCCGCCGACCTACGAGGAGTACCTCTGCCACAGGTACGCCATGTTGTCGCGGTCGCACACGCCGCCGCCGCCATGGTCGGACTCGGCGACGACAACGCCAGCGGCCTTGACCGCTCAAACTCGCCGCGAGCTGCTGGCGACGCAGCTCGAGCTCAGAGAATACTTCGCACAGCTGTCCCTTTCCCAGCGCAACGAACGATCCGGCGGCGGTCATCACCAGCATCACCAGCAGCAACAGGGAGCCGTGCTCAGGGACAGCAGCTACCTCTCGAACCAGCAGGCCTCCAGGGAGCAGCAGGTCAGGACGCAACAACGTTCGAGGGCAATGCCTCCCAGGTGAGTCCCGACACTCTCGAGGAGGAACGAGCGATCCCGCGGGGACGCGCTGCGAGCCGCGAAATCATTTACACCCGCGGCCGTCGTTTCGACGCGACCACGTATCTACGACGCCGCTGGGACTCGAACATAGCTGTCTCGGGGACAATCGCTCGCGGCAGCGCTCGTCAAAACCGAGGGAGAGATTCGATTTTACGTGATGCTTCCCATCCATTTTTCACAACTGTCTTTACGTGTTTCTCAGTTTCTCTAGGATTCGATTTTCGTGATATATGATCGGGGAAGTTGTGGTATATTGAGAAACATGAATGTTTGAGTGTTCGCTGGCATTGCTACCGCGGATAGCATCGAATCGTACTGCATCTGTTATTGGACGCTTTTATTACTAGAAACTTGAGAAATTGGTAATTAACGCTAGATTTACGGGCGTTTATTCTACACTATTCTATTCCTAGAAAGTTACGTGTTCGTTTATAGAAATCGCGAAAGTTGTAGTTTCGAAACCAAAGTGTTGCAACGCGTTCGTATAATTGCACGAGTCGAAATCGAAGCGAAATGTTGAAAGAATTCGGTATCAAATTGACGGGTTCCGTGAATCTAGTGTTAAAATCAATGTTGGCATAACAGATTGATATAATTGTTCTATGGTTAGATGATTGGAAAGACGTCGGTATCTTTCAATTGTATAGCCAGATAATTTATTCCAAGATTAGTATTGCAATGGTTAATACTACCAACGAGAAACCGAGGAAAGTCGAAGAAGTTCGGAATGTAGGTGCCTCCACGCGAGGATCCGGCGTGAGCAGGTGCATATAAAAGGACACGTAACGTTTCAGGTCTCAAAGCGAGAGCCGGGTGCAGCAGCAAAGACTCGCAACGATGTACGAGGACGGCGCGTTCTGCATGGAGACGACCGCGCTGCAGTCCGCGTTCGAGAACGGAATCGCGCTGTGCAGTCTGATGTAAAACCGTCGGCGGCCGATCGAAGAGGGAACAGCGGAGGAGCGACGGAATTGTACTCGAGAACGGTCCTCCTCCGCGACCGCCCGAGAAGAAGGATCCCGTCGCGGATCCGACGAAGACAGTCGAAGTTCCGAAGCGAATCCTTAAATCGACTTTGATATGATCGATCTCATCTCCCCCTTTCACTTCCGATCGCGCGCGCGATCGGGAACTAGGACGCGAACGATCTGAGGGACACGAACACTTTCCTCCGACGTCTGTTATTGGTTATCGCGCGCAAAATGGCCGGCCCCGCGCCATTATCCGCATTATCGCGTGAAACCGGAGTAAAAGATCCGCGGGAAATCGAAACAACGCGTTCACGGGTGCCGCGAATTAAACTCGACGCGAAACGAGACTCGAATTACGGGTGAATATTGATATGCGAGGAACGACGTTGTTACTCGCCCGTATCCTGAAAGCGGATACGCGAATATTTATAATAACATTAAAAATAAAGTAGAACATCTCCGTTGCGTATGGAACGAAGGTAAATCCGATCGCGGGACGTTTACTCTTCAAACGTACGTTTCGCGTGCGACGACCGGATTGAAGCTCTCGATTTCATTCGATCTGTCGTCGCGTATGATGACAGGTTTCGAGGCATTCGAAATTTCACGAAGAATTCGACGAAACTCCCCGAGTGAAAAGTCGCCGGCTTTCCCGAGGTTCGCAACAATTCTCGAGAAATCGATTCGTACCGGCTCTCGAGCGGCCTACGAATCGCGATCGACGTTCTTCGCTTTCGGAAACGCTTGGACCTGTTCTCCGGTCACTCTCTGAAGCGCCGATCCCTCGAACGATCATCGTCCGCACAAATCTTTCGATAGAATACGCTGTCCCGGACAATTCCGTTGCGTCGGACTCATTATTCGAACGATATCGACGCTCCGAGCGATCGAAATCGCGCCGAGGCTTAGGAATATTCGAATACGAGGATTCTGTTCGTCAACGACGGCAGGCAGCCGTCGTTCATCCTGGCTGGTCCAGGCTCACGCAAGCCTAACTCGATTGAAGGACGCGGAGAAGGAGAATCATTCGTGAAGCGTAGAACGGTGATTTCCATTAAATTACGTCGGTTACCGATATCAGTTTGCGAAAGTGAATTTATTTTTCTCGACGTCGCGAAGGAGGGACGTTACTATATTCTATATACACGCGTGACGATTCTTTGGGCCTAATTTTCGAAACGGTTTCTTCGTCTTCGCCGATAGCTGGAAGTATATTTGATAGACGCGCAGTTTTTGTACGATTGATCTGTATATATTTATTATTTTCTACAAGCGACTCGCACCTAAATTTCAATTCCCCCGACGTTTCTACGAGCGTGATCCTACAATAGCGTAGAGTATCCAGCGATCGTATCGTCCGCGCTGCTAGACAGATGCGTATGATTTCTCCCCGCGCAACGTTCCGTCGTTCCGAACATTTCCCATTTGTTTCGCGACAGATGTTCCCCCACGATCGCGCGATTTCCAAGAGAGATTCCGGGTTTTCTTTAACGAGACAATCAAAGGAACCATGCTTTTGCTGGCAGAACGAAATGAATACGAAACGACGGCGGAATGAATGCGAAAGCTTTCGTGGACAGCCTGCGCTCTGATTTACGATGCAAGAAACATTTGCATGGAAAGGGTGGCAGGCAAGGGAGAAAGGAGGGACAGTTACAAAGATAATCGACGATCGTCGAGAAAGGTCCACGCCTCGTAAAGGAATTCGTGTTCACTACCGAAGCTCGTTTTCTAAAAGCCAATCGAAGAATGAAGAATAATTAAGGCCATACTCTGTGTTCATTACAAATGTTTCTCGATAATTCACCGTACAAACGCTGTCAAATCCTTTCACATCGATTCCGATGAAAGCTTCCAAAGTTGTTCCATTTTTTTTTATTTTTTTGGACACCCTCCCCTTTTTCTATATTTCTCATTTTGTTCGTTTGTTCCTTGCGATATTGTCGGAACTCCGTATCGTTTCCAGCGAACGAAACAAGATAAGCGGATTTAATTCTGTAGACGCGCCGGTGTGAAATTTTTATTTTTGTCAACGTAACGTTTCATACGAATGAATGTCGTAGTGTATTCTAGCCACCGTACGGTTTAAGGGAATTATGGGTGTTTTAACGGAGACACGAATGGAGATAGACATTCCTATAGCGAGTAGGTCTACGAAGTAATCTTTACTGTCCTACTGTATATAAATGTAATTAATTATAGAAGGCGGAAGGCTGCGTGGGTCGGTATAAAGTAATTATTATCTTTGGGTTTCGTTGATTCCAGAAAATAATCGTTTGTCCTGTAACAACATCCTGGTTCTGTGAATGTGGAGAACAATTAATTTCAATTTTTAAGAAAGAAATAATTACATCAAAAATCTGACTGGACGCCAATTATCCAGACAAAGTCGAAATCCAACATCGAAAAGTTAAACGTTTAGTTGCTATGAAAATATGACATTTCTTTTTAGCATAGTTCTTATATTTCTTGTATTTCTTCAGTATTGCTTCTATTTCTTAACCATTAGCACTCTAGATGGCTTTTTAATCTATCAGAGACTTCAATCAATTTTTATAGTACCCCTAGCGAAAATTAATAATGTTATAACATTTCTTAGATCTTTTATTTTCCTTCTCAGTACAACATTTGGGGAAATCTAATAAGCTTAGGATAGTTCGTTTACGATTCATTAAAATATTTAACCCATTGCACTCGAGAGGTGACTCTCAGTCACCACTTTATTTGACACAACAAAAATATACAGTTGAATATTTAGTATTTTAAATTAGACTTTGCACTGCTATGTGAAATATTTGAATAAAATAGCCTCGTTGCTTAATTTATCTGTGAATTATCGTTAAATTAGTTTCAAACCATATCGGCTGTATCTCGTCGGAAAATATTGAATATTTTCTGTGCAGAAACTTTCGAGTGCAAAGGGTTAAATATTTTAATGAATCTTAAACGAACTATCCTAATTAGATTTCCCCAAATGTTGAAGGAAAATATTATAACAGGTGCAATATTGGAGCGTACAGAGGGCAAAGAGTTAAACTATACTCCTGTTGCTTAAAATATATTTCTTCTATTTCTTTAATTACTACTTATCCCATTAAAACTTTCCATTACAAATATAATTGATCCGGTGATTGAAATCATTTCACTTTTACCCGCCCAGTAAGGGCAAAGACTTGTAATTAAAGTGCAAAGATCGGATCGATGTCCGGGAAGCTGGCATCCCGTCGCAATCCGCGAATTAACGAGACACTCATTATCCGAACATCCAGACGAGCGGGCCGCGTCACCGATTCAATTAAGAATCGAGTCATCAATTTTTCTACATGAATCGCTGCTTCGCGTCCGCCATTCCATCGTTCCGACCCCGCCGCTGCGAAACGTCCCGCCGGCCGTAACCAGAATTTTAATGGTCACCGCAGCAATTAACCGTGTACATTTATCGAGCCACTCGACGTACCGTATTAGACGATAGGAGAACGGGGATGAGTTAATTAAGTAACGACTACATTATAGGCTGTCCTAACGACATACAAAACAGAAAGTAGCGTGTAAAGTCGGTGTTTTAACGAAAACGAAGAAAAAAATGAAATAAAAAA